GATCTTACATAACTGTGACATCAGGATAAGGGTCATTTCAGAGCATACACTCCTTTTGCAAACTGAGACCTCCTATAACCCAAGGAACAGACTTAATTAATGACAGAAATTTCTTTTGGCACATTTTTATCTCTAGGAAGTCAGTGTGGCTTATAGAAAATGGCATAAAATTGCCAAATAGTCACTTTAAGTCTGACTTTGGCACAACATCAGAAGAATAAGAAGTGTTTAGTTCTAATCACACTTGCTCCAAGGAGAATATGACATCTGAAAGTGGTTCAAATTTTGTTGGACAATAGCGTTTTATATGGGAGAATGATTTTTTTATCTATCTTTGTTTTATTCCTAAATTCCTAATTCAGTGAAGTGCCTGATTTAATAAAGGCATATTTTATACATTAAAAAATCATTAAGACTATGGTTTATTAATTTAATGTTTAACTACTAGGCAGTTAAATTTCATGTTTCGAGGAGCTGGAGCGATAGCACACCAGGTAGGGTGTTTGCCTTGCATGCAGATGACCTGGGTTCGATTCCCAGCATCCCATGATAATGCAACCCTCTTCCCAGCCCAAACTCCTCCTAGAGCCTGGTCTTTGGTGCCAATCTTTTCACTGGTGCACTGAGCTCTTGCTAAGTGCACTTGTCTTCTATCTTAAAACCTCTCCCTTTGAGACTGGAGCCATAGTACAGCGGGTAGGGCATTTGCCCTGTATGCAGCCAACCTGGGTTCGATACCCTGTATCCCACATAGTCCCTCGAGCACCACCAGGAGTAATTCCTGAGTGCAGAGCCAGGAGTAACCCCAGTGCATCGCCGGGTGTAACCCAAAAAGAAAAAAAAATTCATGCTTTGAACCTACATAGTAGACCTAGTTACATGTCTTCAACAACAATAACTTAATCAATTTTGTATAAGCCTCTAATGACTATTATAAATATTTTTAATAAACATAAAAATTAAAATAGCATTTCAAGTCACTTCAGGATGGTTCGGCACCCGAGACCATGAGTCCTGACCTTGATGCCACTTGTACCCAGCCTGGTCCTACAGTTCACTGTCTGGGACACCTGGATCCAGAGTTGTATGATCTCGGGAGTACAACCGGGCATGCATGTGTGAGCACCACAACTGAAAAGTGCAATTCATGGAAAGCACCACTGTCAAAGTCAGACTGTGGGTGCCTCTGTGTGTATGTGTGTGTGTGTGTGTGTGTGTGTGTGTGTGTGTTAGAGAGAGAACACGCACATGTGTGCATGTCACAGCAAACCCATGCGTGAAAGCCCCAGAGAGTACGATGGCCCAGGTATGTCACCTGTTGGTTCTCCCAACGACATCTAGGAAGGGAAAGGAGGAATAAATCAAAATGAAGTCATGAGGCACCAGAGGGTAGGACAATGGGTACTTACTTGCCTTGCATATGGCGGACCAGGGTTCAATCCCTGGCATCCCATATGGTTCTCTAAATCTGCCAGGAGTGATTCCTGAGAGCAGAGACAGGAGTAACCCCTGAGCATCGCAGGGTGTGGCTCAAAATCAAATAAAACTGGGAGCATGGATAACTTGATCACTTTCTGTACTGAAAGTACCAGGTCTTTCCACCTTGGTTGATAACGAGAGTTCTCCGGAGTCCAGCATCCCTATTCTTGTTTTGTTTTGCTGAAAGTGGACATTTACTTAGGAAGGTAAAGGAGCAATTATCCCACTGAGAGGGAAGAGAAGCACTTATTTAAGGAAATGGGAACACAGCAGACAGTGCCATGAGTTGGGGCCCAAGGGAAAGCACTCTAAAGTCTCGTCATTTGGGGACAGCAGGAGTGATTCCTGACTCATGCTCAATGCTCAGGAGATCCTGTGTGAGGCGAGGGAAGGAACTGAGGCAGCAGAGGAAAGCAAGAACCTCAACTCCTCCTCCGGCCTGAATTCCCATTTGCAGGGGCACCAATGCCACCGTTTATTCGGTTCCTTCCCTTTGAAGTCTCAGTGTCTCATGGCCCCCATGCCACCATCTTGTTTCATAGCCTGCCCTGCACATGCCATCTCCATAACCCTTACACTTTCAGAAGCAACTCCCCTACTCAAGGGCCAAAATGACGAAAGGGAACAGCCAGCCCCAAGGAAGGTAGAATTCTCACACGGCTGTGATGAGGGGTGAGCTATGATGACACCCAATGGCCGACAGTTCCACTCGCCCATGAAAATAAACATCTACTGAAGATGTCCACAAGAGATGTAGGTCCAAACTGAAAACTCCCAGAGCACTTGTCAACAGGAACGCAAGTCAATGATGGTACATCCATACAACGGAATACGAGTCAACCATTAATAAGGAACAGATGACTCATACAGAAAGCAGAGATGAGATTTCAAAAGCACCAACTACATTAAGTAACATAAACCAGATGATTCATTTATGTGAAGCCTCCCTCCCTCCCCCCCCCGACCCAAACTGTAGTACTGTAGCACTGTCCTCCCATTGTTCATCAATTTGCTCGAGCAGGCACCAGTAACATCTCCATTGTGAGACTTGCTGTTACTGTTTTGGGCATATCAAATACACCGTGGGGAGCTTGCCAGGCTCTGCCCTGTGGGCGGGATACCCCACAAACTAGCAAAGTAAATTAATGGTGATAAAAATCAGAAAATGGTCGCCTAGAATAGGGCAGAAGGAAAATGAGTGGCAAAAAAAGGAATTTTCTTGGAGGATGGAAAACATTTTGCATGTCTTTCTGCGTGGTGGTCAACCGGCTCTGAGCAATTCCAAATGTGCTGATCAGAATCCTTGACGTGCGTAGGTGGCATTGTATGCAAATGACATCTTCTCGACAAATGAGACAAATAAAACTGTGCTTTGGTCGCTCTAAAATGAACTCACGGAAGTTCAGGACAGAAAGTACATTCATTTATCTGTGATTGCCCAGGGTCCTATTTCATACTTCCTCCCCCTGGACACTCCCCTGCACCCCATTCTATCTATTCATTAGTCATTTTCTCTACATCGGGAGATGATGACATCAGGAAAAGAGCACCTGTGTGTGAGCCAGAACTGGCATTGAAATGCCAGTTTACATTTAAGAACTGAACGCCCGGGAAGAATTGGGCCGCAGTTCCTCACTAGAAAGGCACAGAGAAATGAGACAGGCTCTGGCCCGGCAGCAATAAGGAAGCACTCCCCCCCCCCCCCCCACCCTCCTCCAGGAACCCCAGAGTCAAGGTCTAGGAGAGCCAGGGCCCAGGCCTGGAGCAGTGACCGCCCAGAGCAGAGGTGTGGGTCTCAGTCAGGACCAGCCCTGGGACGATCTGGCCTCAATCACAATTTCACAATTCTAGACTCAGTTTCTCTACCTCAACAGACCAGCTCAGACTGGATTCCAAGAACGTGATATTAAGAGAAAAAAAAAAAGCCGCTGGGGTTTCAAAGCTAAACAGGTTTCACGGGAAAGGAAGAAGGGAGGGGTCCTGGCCTTTGCCCCTAGGCTGGGTCCTTAGCCTGCGGGGCCCTTGGGTTTCCACCATAGCCCCCACCTCACTCCCATCAGGCCTGCAGTTGGGAACCTCCTGGCCCGAATAAACCCTGAGGATAGATTCCACACCTAGCTCACCTAACTCAGCACCTGTTACTTGTAACAATAACCGAAACCCACTCCTGCCAGTCCCCACCCCCCACAAAAAAAAAAACTGGTAGGGAAACAAAGTACGAAAGAAGTAACTCCCCTCAAGGTTACTTTTCTTTGCTGCAGGAGTATGGATAGGGCCAGCAATATTAAAGCCACTGCAGAAAGATGAGGGAGGAAGTCTTGAGTGGAGTCTGGATCAAGACCAGAGAGCACTGAACTGGGAGGACTCCCGCAGCACCACTCTGCCTGTGCACAGCCCCACGCCCACCATCGCACAAAACACAGAAATGCAACAAAAATAACCGTATCCCTGCACTGAGCAGTCCCATACACGTCACCTCCCTGCCTTTCCCCCCAGCCTTCCTCACTCCGGGACTGTGGAAACTGAGTCTGAAGAAGCGACTCCACACACACACACACACACACACACACACACACACACACACACACACACACACTCCTCCGGGAACCACCCCGATTTCCAGGAAAACGGAGGTAACAGCGCCTGGGAACTGTGCACGAAGCGGGGAGGGGCGGGGGTCACGCCGCCGCCGGGGCACCGGGGCTCTGTTCTTCTGGGGGGCGTTGAGAGGGCGGGAACGGCGCTGACAACCCGCGCGCCTGGCGCCACCGCTGCCCCCGGCACGTCCTGCCAGCAGCCCACGCGGGGAGCCGGCGATCTCTGGACGCGGCTGCTCTCCGCGCGCGCTGACACCGCTGCTTTTCCACTTTACTCCCTCCTGGACGCCTTTCAGGAATTTGTGCAGTCCTTCTGGGGCACTGTTTTTTCAAAAGCGCGGGGCGCTGCTCCTCGGGAGGGGGACCCGGGGGCCCGGGTGGCGTGGAGAGGAGAGGAGGGGGCCCCGGTGCACGCCGAGGCCGCAGGCCGCTTCGCTGCCCAACTTAGGCGGCTGCAAAGTTTGCCCAGGCCCCCGCGCTCGGCGCCGGGTCCTCGGCGTGCGTGCTCCGAGCCGAGCCGCGGGGCTCCGGGTGCCGGGCGCACTCCCCTTCCCCCTGACAGCTGCCCTCCCCGCAGGCACCCAGTTCCCACCTCCCCAGGGTCACTTCCCTCCAGACACCCGGGGGAGGCGCTTCCTGCCCCCTGCGCCCCCTCGCAGCCTCGCGTCTCTCGCTCCCACCCCGGATCGCAGCCCCTGAAAGTCTCTCCCGCGGCTCAGAGGCGGGGACCAGGTCCGCCGGGGACGGGGACGCGGGCGGCACCCGCGAGAGCGAGCAGAACAAAAGCGGAGACGGGCAGCGCGGACAGCCGGCGGGGCCCTCTCCCCCCGCGGCCCCACCCCACGCCCGCAGCCCCCGGCGCCGTGCGCTCCTCGCGCGGCCTCGCGGGGGAGTGGGGTGCGGACGGCGCCCCGCGGGACCCACCTGATCGGCAGCAGCTGGGCGCGGGGGGCCGGCGTGCGGCGAGCGCGCTCGGGACTGGACCGCGCCTCGGCTCCCGGCCCCGGCGGCGCCCCCCGCTGTCTGCGCGCTGGGTGCGCCCGCGCCCTGCAGGGCGTGTCGAGCCGGGGTGTGCCCGCTGCGCCCGGGCAGGGGTGCTCGGCGCGCTGTGAGCGCGGCCAGACCCGCGGTGGGGGCCCACAGAGCCGGTCCCGCCCCGGACACAGCTGGGAGGTGGGCGGCGCGGACGTGAGAGTGTGTGCTTGCGTGTGTGCGTGCGTGTGCGCGTGTGTGCAATGCTTGTGTGTGCATGCGTGTGTGTGTGTGTGTGTGTGTGTGTGTGTGTCTGCTGTTGTCCGTGGTGCGGGATGTTTCATTTTCACTCAAGTAAAAAAAAAAAAAAAGCCTGAAAGTTGGGGGCGTGGGGTCAGAGGGAAGGTGAAAAGAGAGGAAAAGAAAGAAATCCCTGATGCGGGTGGTGTTGCTTCTACGGCCTGCACGTGACGCGGGGGAGCCCTCAGCATCCGAGGCCCGGGTGCTGCTGGGGCGGGGAGGGGTGGGGGGGAGCGGGGCTCGAGTACGGGCCGCAGCGACAGGCCCTGGGCAGCGCCGAGTTGGGAGGTGGAACGCATCGTTCCTTTCCTGGGGAAGGACCAGCGTAGATGCCGACAGCGCGGGGCCAAGTGTCGCCCCGCCACCCCTCCCCCCACCCCCGCGCATCCCTCATCCCGCATCCTGCGCTCGGAAGTGAGGGGCTGCCGACCAGCAGGGACCTGTGAGCCCCGAATTTCTCCTCTTCTGCAGTTCTCCGCGCCCTCCCTTGGGGTTTGTCTGCCCGTAAAGGGACCCAGACACACGGGTCAGGCACCGTGTGACCCGCAGCTGATGAGGCACGTCGTGGTGTGCGGTGACCACACCTTGCCGCCACCGAGCTAGGCGCCCTAAAAGTCGTGTCTGTCCTGCCCTTTCGCAGAAGCACCGGAGAGCCGCCACTGGGAAAGTCCGAACCTCCTCCTCTTGCCGGGAACACTTTGCGGCTGGAAAAAGTCACTTTCAGACTCAAGTAAAAACTTTACTTCTGAACTAAGTCAGAAGTGCTGAGGGCCTGCGGAGCCCGGCTGTGCCCACTGATGAACCACCCGGGAGGTGATCCAGCAGCCAGGTCCTGGTTTCTATCACACACACACACACACACACACACACACACACACACACACACCCCGAGAGAAGCAGAAACAGAGAATGACAGAGAGCCTGGGCACCTTTGTATAGTTTCAAAGTCTCATGCAAAGGAGAGGTGTTTTGATCTCCGAAAAGGTGACGAACTCGGGATCTTTTACCTGAAAGGTGAACAGAGCAAGGCTGGAGCCCAGGTAACTTCTCAGAACTCCGTGGAATGTCACAGAGGGTCCGGTGGAGGGAAGCAGTGGGAGAACTGACTCATCAGCCCCACACAGCAGCTCAGGAATGAGAAGCTGCACGCCAGTGAGCACAAAGGGCCCTTTGCTGGGGGATAAATTGCGCCTTTATTGTCTCCATGAACACCCTGGGAGCAGTTCGTCAGTAGCCAGAATGACGGCCCTTGCAGAGAGCAGCTTACACACGCATGCTCATTCCCAGGCTGCACTGATGCATTTGGAAATGCATTGTTTAAGTTGTTCACCCATCAAAGGAGATCACAAAAGAGTCCCCCACCCCCAGCTTTTTTTTTTTTAAGTAAACAATGACGTTAACCCTGACCATGGTTCCTCATGACGCAAATCAAGCAGTGTTGATGAATGGACACGGCAAACCTGGAAAGCCATCTCGCCGCGGCCTGTCGCTGCTGCGGTGGTTGGCTTCTGGCCACACATCCCGTCCTGTTCACGAGCTATCACTCCTTTGGATTTTATTGCTTTGGTGGCTCTTTGTACGACTTCCAAGATTTGTTTTGCTTGTATGAGTGGTTAAATAGAGCAACGAGGAGCGGGAATCGAGGCTTCTTTTTCTCTTTACACTGATTTCAGTAACAATGAACTAAAAGTGATTTGTCAGCCCCGTGACTCTAGAAGTTGGTTTGTCTTGCTTTAAGAAAGGAAGCCATGCTGGGGCTGGAGAGATAGTACAGTGGGTAGGGTATATGGTCCCCCAAGTTTGTCAGGAGTGATTCCTCAATGCAGGGCGAGGAATAAGCCCTGAGCATGGCCAAGTATGGCCCCCCAAAAAATGACAAACAAGAGGGACCATAGGCCTGTCAAGATAGGTCAGGCTAGCAGTTCTGGGGACTAAATGCCCTTTGAAAGGGGCTGGGGAGATGACTCTGAGGCTTGGAGCAAGGCTTTGGATATTGAAGACCCTGAGTTTGATTCCTGGCTTGTCAGGATCCTCTGAGCACCATGGGTGTGATCCAAAATTTAAAAAATAAATAAATAAACCACTTTCAAGACTGGAGATATAGTACAAAGGTCAAGGTGCCATAGTACAATGGGTAAGGGACTTGCCTTGCACATGGCTGACCCAGGTTTGATCCTTGGCATCTCATATGTGCCCCTCAGCAGTGCCAAGAGTGATTCCTGAGTGCAGAGACGGGAGTAACCCCTGAGTACCACCAGCTATTCCCCCTCCCAAAAACAAAAGAAAACAAAAAACCTACAAACAAACAAACAAACAAAAAAGGCACAGATACCTGTCTTTGCATAGAACTGCTGTGGTAAGGACACTGGCTCGAACCCTGGTACCACTTACAGGCCCCCAGCACCACCAGGTGGCCCATAAGCATAGAACCAGTTGTAGCCCCAAGCAAAGAGCCATGAGTAGCCACTGAGTATCACCCGGTTTCCCATCCTCCCTGTAGGGGGGAAAAAAAAACACATCTTCCAGATGTTGTAGGTTGGGTTGATGTCAGGAGTTCTAAGTTTGGATAAAACATGGCCTTAGATGAGTCATTCTTCCCCTCTCAGGCTTATTTAGCTCATATGCAAAATGTGATTAAAAATGAAGAGTGCATGTGAAGAGAGAATTTGGCTGAGTGAACTGTTGGTGAAAGGCCTGTAGCCTGCAGACACACACACACACACACACACACACACACACACACACACACACACACACACACACCCCTAGAGGATGCTGAATATTGGAACAAGGAGGAAAGCTAAATCCAAAGAGTATCGACTACTGTCCTGGTCTTGCTCCAAGTGCCACACCCTTCATTCTCACCTCACCTTCCACACAGCGCTGCTTTCTGGGATAGAAAGCTGAGTTGCTGGTGCATTAAGGAACTAATGCTGGAGCGATAGCACAGCGGTAGGGCGTTTGCCTTGCACGCAGCCAACATGGCCGACCCGAGTTCGATTCCTCCTCCCCTCTCGGAGAGCCCGGCAAGCTACCGAGAGTATCTCGCCCGCACAGCAGAGCCTGGCAAGCTCCCCGTGACGTATTCGATATGCCAGACACAGTAACAACAAAGTCTCCAATGGAGACGTTACTGGGCCCGCTCGAGCATTAAAGACCAGGTGCATTAAGGAGCTGATGTGTTAAGGACCAGGTGTATTAAGGAGCTGACACGTTAAGGACCGAGTGCGTTAAGGAGCTGATGCATTAAAGAGCAGGTGCGGGACTGGAGCAATAGCACAGTGGGTAGGGTGTTTGCCTTGCACACTGCTGATCCGGGTTTGATTGCCAGCATCCCATATGGTCCCCTGAGCACCGCCAGGTGTAATTCCTGAGTGCAGAGCCAGGAATAACCCCTGTGCATTGCCGGGTGTGACCCAAAAAGAAAAAAAATAAAAAAATTTAAAAAATAAAGAGCAGGTGCATTCAGGAGCTAGAGTATTAAGGGCCTGGTGCATTAGGGAGTAGGTGCGTTAAGTTTAAGCTGTAGTATTAAAGAGCTGTGTTCACTTGTTCGGTCTCTGTCTAGGTCAGGTCAAAGCATGCTGGATTCTGGAGACCATCCTCTCTCTCACTCCTTCATTCTCTGCACAGACACTCCCTTGGAACTGGTGCTCCCTGCCAGCTTGCATATTGAGAGCACCAAAGCAGACGAGCTCTACAGAGTTGGAGCCCTGAAAGGTGCCTTCCTGCCACTGAACACTAAGTGCAGAGGCTCCCAGTGAATGACTTCAGTTGTGATGCTCAGAGTGGCCTATATCAGATCAGAAGGCAGATGAGGTCACTGGGTAAGGTGTTGGGGAAGTGCCCAGGGCAGAACTGTGTGCAGAGGTGGTGGGTGGGAAGAAAAGGGGTATTATGATGCCAAAGTTCAACAGAACTTAAAACAAGCAGCTCTTAATCTTTACACTAGAACCACCTTTACCAACAGTTTGGACAAAGCAGGGTGGAGAGGGGTGACATTACTTCCTCAGAGGGTCTAGAGACCAAACAAAAGTCTGTGCAACCCTCCCCCTTCTTTCCTCCACACCCACCCCAACACACACACACACACACACACACACACACACACACACACACACCTTTGCTGGAAAACTTAGAAGGACAATCTGGGGTTAGAAAAAACTAAAAACCCATCCGAAGCTTGTCGCTTGGAGGCTATGGAAACTTTTCCCTGCTGCATTGCCTTCGTTGTGTGGGGACCAGAAAGAATATTTTCACTGAGAAGGAGCCAATTCCCAGTTGGACAGCACCACCAGTAGACACTGCTTGTGGGCGCAACTCTTGACCCTTACTCCCTTGCATGTCCTTGATGACGTTTCTTTGTCTTTTTTCTTTTTGCTTTTGGGGTCACATCCGGCAATGCACAGGAGTTACTCCTGGCTCATGCACTCGGGAATTACTCCTGGCACTGTTTGGGAGACCATCTGGGATGCTGGGAATCGAACCCGGGTCAGCCGCATGCAAGGCAAACACCCTACCCACTGTACTATCGCTCCAGCCCCTCTTTGTCATTTTTATACAAGAGATGTATATTCATTATTCCTCAGCTGCACAGGAATATGTATGAGTTTCCTCAAGAACTATCCTAGGTACAAGCAGTTGCCTCACTCTCTGTGTGAGGCATTAAACCAGAACCCTTCTCCTCTCC